GCCATGTGGTTTGGTAACATCGGGACTGTGCCTTTTTACTTGTCAACCTTGGGCTTGGCAGCCTCAGCAGCCAGCAGCTGTCTGAGTAAAGAAAAGCCTCTAGTTTCAGTGGGCCGGGAGCTGGAGGCAGAGCTGGACCCCAGGGTTGAGCGGCTTTCACCCAGCCCCTAGAGCCTGGCACTTTGAATTTGGATTTAAAGCCTCCAAACTGTAAGAATAAACTCTTATTTGTTAAGGCCATCCCATTTGTGATATATTCCTGTCAGAGCGGCACTAGGTAACCAAAACAGGTACCTTCACAGGTGATGAGGGAAAAGTGATTCCAAGGTCACAGCCAGGATGGAGGGTGATCTCAGGTGCAGGGGAAGCAGAGAGGAGACCAGCCTGGGAGCAGATGGACCAGGGAGGTGAACATGGCTTTGGCCTGAGGATATGAAAGTGTTTGCCTGGCAGGGAAGTGGGAAGGATTTCTATTCCAGCTTCAGGAGGAAGCAGCCATCTGGAAAGTTGGCGTCACCCTGGATCACTCAGAAGGGAAAACCCCACAGAACTTTCCTCCCCAGTGGATGCTGGGGAACGAGTGGTGGTGCTGTTCAAATTCCTCTCTGGGGAGGCACATCCTGCTTCCCTCTGGCACGTGTCTTGGCTGCTGTGTAATGGTCTTAGATCATCAGCCTTAGGATGCCCAATATGTGTCAACAGAGAGGTCAGGGAACGGGTTACTGGAAGGTTGCTGGCAGGCTTAGGGAATGCTAGGAGCTACAGTTTAGTGGGGAGGTGGGCAGAGGACAGGCTGTCCTTGAGGCACTTACTGTAAGCACCTGTGGAAATGTCTTCATAGCTCAGCTCAAACGTCACTTCCGCTGGGGAGCCCCGTACTCAGTCAAGATGCCAGTGGAATGTGCTAGTAAACATCCTGTCTTTTGCTTTCCTAGCATTTTCCATGCCTGTAATATGTATGAACTTGTGTGATTCCTGAATTGATGTCTGTGCTGTCCACTCCCCCTGCAGCTGAAAACTTTGAGAGCAGGCATTCCCCTGAATTGTGCCTCTAGCCACCAGCACAGTGCCAAGCATGCAGTAGGCGCTTACTAAATATTTGTTAAGTGAATGAATGGATTGGGTAATCTCCTCAATGGCTCCTCCCTTCCCAGCCTCCACCTTGCATTGTTGTTGTTGTTGTTGTTATGTGCCGTCGAGTCGGCCCCGACTCATAGCGACCCCTCCTTGGGTTTCCGAGGCAGTATCACTACGGAAGTAGGATTGCCCAACCTTCCTTCCGAGGAGTGGCTGGTGGGTTTGAACCGCCAGCCTTCTGGTTAGCAGTCAAGTGCTTTTAGCCACTATGCTACCAGAGCTCCTACCACCTTGCATTAGGACCAAAGATAAAAATGAAACTTAAAAAAAAACAAAACTTTTTTTCACCGTGTTGGGACCGGTACACTGAATCAGGTGAACATGCCAAGCAGGGCGGCAGAGTTGAGCTATCAGAAGACAAAATTCTAATGGTCACTCTGCCACTCTCTTATTTAGTACCTTGGATGTGCCAGGGCCTTCTCAGAGCCTGTTCTTGTCTGTCAAATGATCAGACTGTGCTAGGATTTAAGGGTTTCATCCAAACTTTCCCTGTGTCTGGAGCCAAGGTCTCAGAAATCTCCTACGTCCTGGCAGCTTTGCGGCCTGAGAGCAGCGCAGGTGTGCTCTTCGGGCAGCGAGTGGCTTGTGTGCTGTTTTTGTAATTTACAGATGCACATGCATTACTGTTCGTGCAAAAGCCCTGCTTCCTAATAAACCAGATGGTCACCTAGCCACTCAAGGGAAATAAGCCACCTCTATGGAGAGATAAAGGAGCCCCAGAGTAGCAACAGCTAAGCACTCAGCTGCTAACCAAAAGGTTGGTGGTTCAAACTCACCAGAGACTCTGTGGAGGAAAAGACCTGGATACTTCCTCCTTCCATAAAGATTACAGCCTAGGAAACCGTATGAGATGGTTCTTTTCTGTCCTACAGGGTTGCCATGAGTTGGAATCGATTTGATGGCAATGGTTTATGAAGAGACAATATGGCTTGTTTTCACCCTGAAAAGAATTAGATCTGGCCCTGGGTTTGTGCCATCATTTTTGTGGGTAAACCTGCCTTGAGGCTTAAACTGCCTTCTTTGAATCATTGAGTCTGGGAAGGAGGACTGACAAACAGGGAAGGGCCCAAGCTTGTTCATCTCTGTGTTCCAATAGTCTCACTGTACTTGGGACAGAGGAGAAGAGGAACTTTCAAATGTCTGCAGTCCTAACGTGGAAGGGGCTGAGAGCCATGAGGCCAAGCAGCAGCAGATGGGGAAAAGCACTCCCCACAAATGTGGTGTGAGTCACTGTTGTAAGGTGGTGAGGTGGCCCTGGCCTGCATTAATAGAGGTATGCTATCTGGAACGAGGGAGGTGATTGTCCTCTAGTTCTCTAGTGCTGCTATAAAAGAAATACCACAAGTGGATAGCTTTAATAAATAGCAATTTATTCTCTTCCCGTTTCGGAGGCTGAATTCACAATGCTGGCTCTAGGGCAAATGAGGCTAGAAGTCCAAGTTCAGAGTGCTGGCTCTAAGGGCTGGGTGGAGGACCCTCAACCTTGAGCTTCAACTCTACCTCTTATTCCAGGCCCGCTAGAGCAAGCTGGAGGCTTCTCCTAACTTACACATCTGCTGGCTGCTGCTGTTATTATTCTCACTCTATAGGTGAGACATTGAAGAGTTATGTGACCTGCTCAGGGTCACACAGCTTGCAAATGGCAGAGCTGGGATTTGAACCCAGGGCTTTCAGAGTCTACATCTTTATGACACACTGAGAAGAGATTAGACTTATTCTCTGTGGGCCCAAGGACAGAACTAGGCCAGTGGGTACAGATAA